ATCTGGGCCTATGTTCTTAAAATTTGACCCATGTTGCTCAAAATATAAGAAATCTGAACCCATTTTTTGTGGACCCAATAATAAATTTGTGTGGGACCTTGTCCCAACTGTCCCAATAGCTGGCTACGGCGTTGGGGACAATTTAATGTCTGTGTAAATGACGTCACATCTTAGCTAACAATTTTACGGTTTATATAATTGTAGGCTTAATAACATTGCAGTATTCTGAACGGGTTTTTTTTTAACCATGGACACTGTACGTGTATTACGTAATTTATGAATAAATGACATTGCAAAAGTTGATGCAATGTTTGACGTAACCTAGCCACAACGTTTACAACATTCGCGAATGTTACAATAATATTTGTGTCTGCTTGGGATTACTCCATAGTTTCGATTTCAAACACGGTTGATATTAGAGTAGCATGGATTATTATTCGATCTACCTTATATGAAGCCATACGGTATGGAGCTGAGCGGTTGGCTGAGAGTTAACGTTCTTGCTTCTCATACTGAAGACCCCGGTGGTTCAAACCTGGCCAGCCTCGGGTTTTAAGTAGAGTTTGATGATGATCGATTGTCTTCTCGAGTAACCCTCACATTGAGAGTTAAGGACAATGTTTGTATCCGTACCGTATGTGTCCGTTAAGTCGGGTGGCAAAGTTTCCTATTTCCGATTAGAAAATATGGACAAATAATGTATTAGGCCTATTATTATTATTATTATTATCATTATCATTATCATTATCATTATCATTATCATTATCATCATCATCATCATCATCATCATTATTGTTGTTGTTGTTGTTGTTATCATTATCATTTTCCATTTGTTCGGCAGTATACCAATCTCAAGAAAACCTTTAGAATTAATTATCTTTGAGAAAATTTAAATTGGTATATAAATAAAGCAACAACGTTTGAAAATATGCTTGTTTATGGAATCATTTCTAGCTTCACTATTTAAAATTGTAGACATCTAAAATATATCGAACGGTTAACCATATTTACAGTAGGGGAATATCCCAGCTTATACCCAACGATCAGCTGATATTATTATATAGTATTATTATACAACATAAATAAGTGATGCTTCTTTAAAGCCGGACACTCACTGCGTCGTTGGGTCCGCGTCTTCGCGTGCGTTCTTCGTCGCGTTGCCGTCGCGTCACCGTCGCACGCAGTGAGTAACCGGCTTAAGCCCTTATAATGAGTCTTGGAGAGTAAAGAAGTTTTTAGTCGCGAGAAAAAAATCTTGATTGATTCGAATTCAAGACACTGGGATTGGAAGAAGGCAATCTGTTTTTTTACAAGCTCCCCCATTAATTGTCAGTTAATCATGTTGTTGTTACATGTTGTTGAGACCATCAAGATGGATAGGCATCCATGATGCGATATTTGAAAAGGCAGAAGAAGTAAATGCGGATTTGAACAAACGTTGGGGTGAAGATCAGAGAGATAGAGGTAAGATTTACATTTCGAAATTTGAGAGCTTAAAGCTGGTTTTCCACTAGGCGAATTTATTCGCGCGAATCAAAGCGTCGGTTCGCTTCCTGAGTTCTGATTGGTTGCGCATTTTTTTCGCTTCGGAAAAACTCCGATGGGAATGTGAACGCGCATGCGCATGAACCAACGCTTTCAATTCGCGCGAATAAATTCGCCTAGTAGAAAACCGGCTTTAAAATAATAGCGAGAGGGTGTGTCTTCGGCTTGACATGTTTTGTTTTTGTTTTTTTTGTCTTTTTTTGTTTGTTTTGGTTTTTTTTCTTGTTTTTTGGCTACTTTTAACTCATTCCTGCTTTCTGTGTTGACAATTCACTACTGTACAAGTATATAATAGATTGTTGTGACTTTTTAGTGATCTTTCTAGGACAGGTCTTATCTAACTTTCTGTGTTGTCAGTTCAATTGATAACTTACTATAACTATAGGACAGGTCTTCTCCAGCACAGCAACATATTTCGTAGACTTGCTTTTCTTATCTTTAGTTCATGATCCATTCCATCATTCCTCCACCGTGTTTACTCTACCGGATTTACTCTTACAAGGTCAACTGCCAGACAACAACAGTGTCTACTACCCCCTCGGGCCAGTAAACACAAAAAACCAGCACCACAAACGTTTAGGCGCGAAATGGGAATACATTGTTAGTGCTCTTAAAGTTTAGCATCAACCATGGGGACGTCTTATAAACATGTTTATGGTAGGAAGTAGAAGCATAAAAGCCGCACCAACAAAGTCATAAAAAATCATATCATTTTCAACCATATAGTATATAGAATCAGAAATATTCCACGGGAATCGTTCAGACGTTTAAATAAATAATAATTGATAATAATACTGTAATAATAATAATAATAATAATAATAAATAATAATAATAGGCCTATTATTATTAATATTATTATTATTATTATTATTATTATTATTAATATTGTTTTTGCCATTATTATTTTTACCATTGGGAAATTAATACTGGCGAATTACAAATACTATAGTGATTATTTATTATTGCTATTGTTATCATTAATAATAATAATTAAATGCAATAGATGTGCTATTGTTATTTCAAATGTCACGCAATATATTGCAAAGGAATCGCCTAGGCCTCGCACTAATAGATTATTATTATTAGTTTATTGTTAAATGATGTGTCAGATGCAAATACTCAAGTTACAATGATGATACTCAATCTCTAAAAATAATTAAGTGATATTATGTTACCACATCAAATCACAAGCAACTACACACATGCTTAAATCGACTTGATGGATAAAAACTGTCGTACTTCTACCCTCATGAGACTCATATTTTGTCCAAATAAGTAATTTTTTAAATTATTAGGAAGAAGACGTTTTAATTATTAAGCTGGACTAACGAATGTACCCACACGCCCAAATATACGACACCTACTTACAAACACATTTTGTAACTGAATGATTTTGCTTGCGTGATTAAACTACATTTCCAGCTAAAACATGATCTAATTGTCCATACGTATGCTTTAATATATTTTAGACACATCTACTACCGCCACTAATGATTACTGTTGCCAGGAAACGAAGCGTTTTCAATGACGTCACACAATATGTACCCATGAGCGTCAAGCAAGAAGAAGTGACTTACATGGATTATTTTACTGATGTTGGCTTCTAACACAATTTTGTTTTTCGGAAAGAGGTGGTGGAGATAAATATCTGTATGTATCTTGACTGGAACTACATTTTTCAAAATATGAAGAATCAGTCCACAGGGGTTTTTTCAAACCTTCATAGTAATCAATCTCCTATTTTGAGAGCTTTCTGAACCACTAAATTAACGCTGCCTGTATTTGTCAACGTTAGTTGTACATGAGACAGTGATTGATTCGGGCTTCAAATACATTGCAACTATAATAATATCAATCCATGTTACTGAATATTAGACTTAGTTACTCTCAGTAAACCCCGCAGGCGCTAATGTGTCATTTTCGATAGACCATTCTGAAATATTTGAAAATATCTGCAAATATTTCATATAGTTACATTAACGACCTTTAAAATGTTTTCCAACAGATTTTTCCTACGGCTACAAAAGGTAACAGCGACTGTTGGAGCCGAACATAGCGGGTAGTTAGTGTTACCAATAATGGCTATAAATACAAGTATATGCTTAAAATTCAGGAATAAAAATATCAATCCATATTGGTGCGTGCATTCATTCATTCATTCATTCATGTTTTTCAAGATGTATAACTGCCAAGTAGCGACAAATATTCAATCCAATTTAAACTATGTGGTTTAAAAGCTAGTGAATGTGTGACTTTTAATACGAATTAAAACAGAATAATTTAAAATGAAAATTGAATTTTCCAAAATTAGAATACTTTTATATTTGACTGAAAAACATGGTATAGACCATGGAGGAAAAATATATTTTATTCCTCCATGTATAGATCAACCAAATGGTTTCAGACGAGAATGTATATCCTATAGGCCGAGAGTATTATGCTTTCCTCGGAAGATGATACAATCGTTTAGATATTTGTTTATAGATATCAGTAGATTTTTTGCTGTTTTTACTTGTGTAAAGTTAAAAAGCAATGGAGGCAGCCCAAAGAATTCAAAAGTCAAGAACAGTAAATGCATTTGGCTTCAAGTTCTTCTATGTTAGTTCTTTGTTTCTTTTATAATTTTATTTGAAACTACACTTCATTTTTACTATCGAAGAATCAGTCTGTCCGTCAGTATATTGGTTTGTCAGTCAGTAATTCTGTCATTCAGAGAGTCAGTAGATTGGATTGGATTGGTGGTGATTGGGCAGTACACCGGGAGACAATCCCCTACTCTTTTCCGAAGAGTGTACTGCGTTCTTTCACGTGCACATGGGCCATAAATGCACACGGGACCATCCGAAAGACGGTGCACTATTGTAACTTGTATTTCAGCCCTCCAGCTGAAACACAAGGAAAGGCAGCGATGGGAATTGAACTTAATAGATCTCCATGGTTCAGCGCACACACAGTGATTACCGCAAGATTAGCCGACCGAGCTGCTCTCTAGGTGGGTTTGTCATTTAGTTAAGCCGGGCACTCACTGCGTCGTACGACGGTCGTACGACAGTCGCACAACAGATCTAATTCCGCTCTCTTTGAGCGCTAGACATGAGACTCCGTCTGATGATTGTCAATGGACTTCTGAACAGATCGTCATTAAAAACGATCCGTTGCGCGCGCGTCGACGCGTTGCGTTCTTAATAGAATCTCGTCGGCCGACGACCGACGGGCGCAGTGAGTGCCCGGCTTAAGTCATACAGTCAGTAAGTCAATTAGTTGTTCAGTCAACTATCAGCTATTCAGTCAGTCTGTTAGTCAGCTACTCAATCAATCCAATCTCGAAAAAAAAAAAAAAAAACAAAAAAAAAACAAAAAAAAAAAACAATAACATTATGACCCACAAGGGCCGGTAAGAATAGACGAGGCGCTTCCAAACGATTAGGTATACGCTTTATAATACACAATACTAAATAATAACACTTGTGATTTAAGATCATAAAAATGAAGCTTAATTCAAGTAACCTTGACGTATATGCATTTGTAAAACTCATTAAAATGTTTGAATAATTAAACAACAAATGGCATTTAGCATTTGTCCCTGCTAATTGTCTACCAAGGAGAATGTTCATGCATTAGTAGAACAATGGCGGCGAAGCACTCAATGTTTTGGCTCCTTACTGTAGGTCTCCAGATTCAGCGGCTGGGGCATGGAGGGTAGGTACCGGTAACGAATCTCCCAGAAAATCAGGTATTTTGAAATTTAGTATTGTTTCTGTGATTATTAATAGTGGATGGACTGTCTCTTCTACGACAACACCACTTGGAACCCTCTGCTATGTCGTATGTATTCAAGAATGTTCCTGGGTCATTTTATATTGTATCGCGCTGGTGGTGACTTCATCCATGGAGGAATAAATTCATTATCCGCTTTAATGTAACGTGCAAAATAAAGCGATTTAATAAAAAAAAAAAAACAACGTTGCTAGCTATTATGGATATTTCTAAAAGGGACCAGTATGATTGTTTTGCCTTTACAATGCGTCATTGCGACGTTCATTATTATTATAATGAAACCGTTGGCGATTTATTCTACCATTATTATATCATACGAAATGCTTATGTGATGACGCGTTGCGCGTCAGTCTTCTATACCAGTACATAATTATAGCCGGTTGCTTCAGTGCCGTAATAGCCATTTAGCCTCCTGGACGTTTTATTCACTAGTGATTCACAGTGGATGGAATCCAGACAGGTAACAGAAGTTCAAACCAAGGGTAGGTGCTTGTTGGATGATTATTTGTGCAAGAATCGACGATGATATTTTCATTAGGTCATTCTAAGGAAAGAAATTCTACCAATGTTATTGCCAGCTGACAGCGAGACAAATTGCACCAGCGCTAGTAGGATTAAATTTGTATCTGAACGTATTCCAATCTTTTTGAAACGCGTTTGAATGTATAAGAATTCGAAGATTTGCAACTTTAGCCTAAAAGGCCAGTTTCAATAGGCTATGTAAGAAACATAACACACAGTGCTGTTTTACGTGAAGATATTGGCATAGTTAGATAGACATTAGTTAATGTTAATTAATAATACAATAAAATAATAATAATAATAATAACACTAATAATATAATACAATAATAGTATTAATCAACTTTAGCCTACTTTAAACGAATTGCTTACTCGTGAAGGCCTTCATACAGTTTGAAACGCATCTATACTCACTGTATGTTGTAGCAACGTAGCAGGCTCACAGTTTTAAGTTCTTTTCTGAATTCAAAAGCAGGCTTTTTTGTATAGGCATAGGTCTAGAATTACTTAGGGCGCATATTTAGCTTTTTATGATATCCAATGCCTAATTTAAATGCAGTCGTAGAATGCCATTTTTAAAAAAAGTTTTAGAGGATATGTTTCAGATAAGGCCGTTTGACGCAGCGTTTTCTTGTGTGTGCGCGGAACCTTGGAGATCACTTGGGCCGGTTCAATTCCCCTTCGCTGCTCTTGTTTTTTATCTGGAGGGCTGAAATGCACGTTACATAGCGCACCGTCTTTCGGGTGAGACATTAAGCCGTTGGTTCGTGTGAATTGTGGTCCATGTGCACGTTAAAGAACGCAGTGCACTCTTCGGTAAAGAGTAGGGGATTGTCCCCACCCCCGTTTAGTCACTAAATTTTACCATTTCAATGCATATCAATGTTATGTATTTTCAATACATAGCCTAAAATTGATATGTATTTTTAATACATATCATTGTTATGTATTGAAAATAAGCACTACTCGCTTATCTATTCTGAAACTGTTGTGCTGTCCCGTTTGAAAAATTCTGGATCCGCCCCAGCGGCGTAGGCCTTCTGCACAATCACCACCAGAAGGACCCCACTGGAAATAAGTCTTCAAACTTTTGAGGGTTATCCTTGATGTGTACATCAAAATAAATCTCTATAAATCTATCTATTTCATAGCTTACTGACCATAGCCGATGCACTGCGGCCGATGCACTGCGGCCGCCACGGTCCTAGGTGCGTAATCCGAATTTCCATGTTTATTCAAAACGGAACTTTACTATATAGATTTACATATAAATGTTGAAAAACTCCAATTTTTTTTCAACCATCAATATCCAATTTGCAGGAGCAAATCAAAATTCATGTGCGCTTTTTGTCATTTTGTCATGAGCAAATTTGTACGGTGTTTAGTAGTCTTCAAAAACAGTTACACAGCTGTTTATGTTGGTGGAAATAATCTGGGTACAGACGCATATTCGTTTAAATGATTGATTTGTTATCGACGTCCAGATTAATACATGATTTCTTCATGTTGATTTTCATCGTAAAGGCTTGTATGGGCTAATACCTACCGGTACCCCTCATACTTAAATACACTTCACATTATTCAAAAAAGTCTATCAGGATTATATCTGGCGCTCCACCGCGGTCTCATTCCTCTAGGTTATTTTTAAATTGAAATTTACTCGAACTCCCTGATATAAATTCTCTCCAACAAAGTATTTTTATGTATGCATCCTCTCACTCCATTTTACCAAAGTATTTCTGTGATATCTTCAAACCTAATTCCTCTTTACACAATTACTTCTAGATGTGTATAAGAGACAGGCGTTTGAATGTATAAGAATTCGAAGATTTGCAACTTTAGCCTAAAAGGCCAGTTTCAATAGGCTATGTAAGAAACATAACACACAGTGCTGTTTTACGTGAAGATATTGGCATAGTTAGATAGACATTAGTTAATGTTAATTAATAATACAATAAAATAATAATAATAATAATAACACTAATAATATAATACAATAATAGTATTAAATATTGAATCAATGTTATATTTTTATATATAATAATAATAATAATAATAATAATAATAATAATAATAATAATAATAATAATAATAAAATAAAGGTAGAAACAGTGACGTAAATATCGTTTCGCGTGCCCCTGACCTCAATGTTGAGAGTCTAAGCCATAACCACTGAGACAGTCGCTCCTAAGGTAAAGCGAAAGCAGAATAAATGTGAACAAACATATTCTTTACATTCACATTATTATTTCACTACCTACTGTGACGTCAGTATCTCCGCCAACATACGCTCACAATGGCCTTGTCATACACAACAGTTAAGCTTAAACGATTATAGAGAAACTTTTTGAAATAAATATTTTCAAATATAAATGAAAATTGAGTCATAAAAAAGACAGCCGTTATCAAAAGTTATTTGTTTACGTTTCCTTTGCTGAAATTACCAGAAGAAAACTAGTAACTAGTTTAACTAGGCCATATGGCATTATACGCTATAGGTTTAAAAGAATAACTGTATTTATTTGGTAATCATAAAGTAGTTAATGCCGATATTAATTAAATGGACGTCTAAAGCTATAGATATTTTATATTACCAAAAAGTCATTTGCAACATCTTGGAGACAACAAGTCGTGGAGAGATGAAAGACCGTGGCGACACGCATTTTCGCTTGTACAATTACATTGTAAATTGTTACAGATATAAAATAATAGGCCTAGGCCTACAGGTCTTAAAAATAGATATGAACATTTAAAACAAAATATTTGGGGCTCTGTTTATAAGAGATTTTTTTCCATTTATCCAGAAGCGTATTTCCTATATAAATGATATATTTACTAGTTTTCTCGAAACGTGATCTTTCTAACTTAAAACTGCTCTGGTCGGCCAGCAGGAAGATATAGTGACAAAATAATGGTAAATTCTGATGACGTATCACGCACGCGTGCTAAACCAACACAAATGTCTCTAAGTCCGCATGCGCAGAAAATTGCAATAGTAAGGTATTCATCAGCTTGCCTTATTAATTATCTGTTTGCTCACAAACGTATAGAGCGGTGATACGGGAGATCTGGAGATTCATTCGTAGTCTAACAGGCATTGGATGAGTACTGATTTATTGCTACTCGGCGAGCGGCACATCGCACCACTATTTCGTATATAGTTCCCGACTGAGAGTAAACTTATCAGAAGGTTGTATTAAGCTTGTTTAACGTAAAAAATAATCAATACGTGTTGTTATAAACCTCAAAAATAACAGTTACCGGTATTCATTCCAGTAAAATATTACTAGCTGGCTAAATTTCATATCATGCTATATAATTGAAGAGCACGATTATTTCGCGTTGCAACGAATTTACAGGCCTATCTAATGGGAATATCATGAGATCTATAATTTACCATTTTAATGAAAACATTTTCTAATTTTTGTTTTCATTATTAATATCATTTCAGGAACACCGACGGTTACATTTGGAGAGGTTTTGCAGTATTGAATTCAAATAGCACTGCGGCATGGTTAACCCAAATTAGTACTCAGAACAAGCCCGGAGTACATTAATATCTTTCCTCTCATTTCCAATTCTTCGTTCAAAAATCACATCCAGGAAAACGTAAGGCTAAATTGTGTGCAACAATAGGTTTACACTTGATCTGCTCTTGTGTCGTCTCCAAATTATTTTGACGGCCGGAACTTTATTTTACACTGTCAAGTCGTCAGTAGCGCTAACAAAACAAAGTGTTTTGGGACTAATCGATTTCGGGATTATTTCGACCAAGGAAACAGGTGAGTTTTCAAAAATAATAAATTACCGTCTCCATAGCTCATCGGGAGTAGTATTAGTAAGTGGCTTTCTGTCTCAGTTGTATTGTGGTACAATAGCTCAGTGGTTGTCCTCCAATCCCAAGATTCATGGTTTAAATCCAGGCTGAAAACAACACCAATTTGTAAGCCTCGTATTGAGGCTATATAAGATAACAGTTGGTTTTATTCTTTTATTGTATAATTTGTATTACGCTTGATTATGTTCTGTTTGTGTGGATTGGAGAGTCTTTGTATTTATGTTCATCCGAAAATAAAATTTGAATTGAAATTAATTATTATAATAAAGAACCAGCGTAAGACAATGGCATTCATCTTTTATTTATTTATTTTTTTAAATATGTGAATTATTCGATCTGACTTGTTTACGTTTAAATGTTTACTCTCCTCTCTGTGGATTGACTACATTGAGTGTTACTATACGCACGTCTCGTCAACACGTTTAAAACTCTCCTTGATGTTAACCACGCTTGTCCTCGAATTCAAACCAAAACAATATAATAAAATGTAAAATGTAGATAAATAGAAACTGTTATGCTTTCAAAGGGACTGGTCTTAGGAGACTTCTTAAAGATGAAAATTGAAGCAGACTCAAACACGGAGGGCTTCACGATGAAAGACAAAGCAATTTTAAATAGTAAGAGGCACTTTAAGTACCGTAGACTTGGGAATGACAATTACCCTTAGGCTTCAATTCGCATGTAATGAAGTTTGTGCTGTCTTCATAGATTAAAATATAGATTAAGGTTGAATCTTAAACGAAAGTGTTCGTGAATTTATGAATGTGATTTTTTTAAATCATTTTTTAGTTTCAATAGGCCTCTATTAAGGCCAGGATTAACATTGAACAATTGAAAACTATGACATATATTTATGAACTGAATTTTGAAAGTTGAAAGGTACGTTAAACCTAGTTTCTATACAATCCCTGAACTGTCTCTACAATGATTTTCATTGCAGTCGTTGCACTGCGTAGCTGTTGCATTGCGTATCTGTATTCGACGCCGCAATGGGAGGGGCTCCTCTTGACCAACCAATCAGCGTCACAGAAATTTAAAGGAGAAGGGTGTAGCGATTTTATGAAAACTCGACAGAGTTGTACGCTTAAGTGATGTTAGCTTTAATGCGAAACGTGCCTGGTTTTTTTATATTTTACGCTAGTATCTGTCAAGTGATACAGCTTTTATCAAATCATCTTACAAACCTGCACAAACCGACTGTTAGGCCTCAGCATGCAAATATGTTTATATAGGCCTAGTTGTATGTACATCTTTTACGTAGGTCTATCACGGTATAGGCTAACTGAAAGTCTATTATTTTGTGTCTATAAAAGCTTTGGAAAATTTATCTTAGACTTAAAGTACTTTGCAACACCTGAGGTATCTTTATATTATCATGCTGTTTGTTACAGTCTGACTACCAACTTTCTTTAGTTGGTGCCAAATGTTTCCTGTTGGAGATTGGTTAACATTTATCAATATTATTAACGGGATTATTCAAACATCGAACCAAATATCAAAATTACATAGTCCAATTTTTCATTAGGATCCATTATTTGCATTACATGGCCGGTTAGCTCAGTCGGCAGAGCGTAATGCTAATAACGTTTTGTCATGGGTTCGAGCCCCAGTATTTTTTTTTTAAGGATAGGGAGCAAATATTGTTTGGGCTTCCGGACAGACCATAATATTTTTTCATTTCTGTATATTTGCCTGATAAATTATTATCTATGGTTTTGATCAGAAGCATTTCATGTCTTATTTATACATAAAAATGTGGCATTTTGAATTGGCTTTGAATCCAGGACCCTTTATAATGAGCACCCATCGCGTGCAACTTATGAATGTTGTCAACGACGATTCACTTATAAAACGAACACTGTACCATGGTATTGCGTCGGGTAAATGCCCACTCATAGTTGGACAAATTCGGGGACAAATGGCGGACAGTCAGCTTTAAACAACCTGTAGCTTCTTACGGCGATAGGCTAAAGCATTACAAATTTGTTTGCGATCTATGTGGGCAATTGGTCGAAGCAATGTCAATCCTCGTGCATTCTGTCAGGTGGCAGACGAAGTTTGTTTTACTTTACATTGTCATAAACGATGGTTATATCAAAGAGTCGCGGAACGACTCTTCTTTTGTTATATTATTGCTTAACGAATCGTAATTGCTATAAATGATTTGAAAACTTCCGGTTAGTTTTGCATGGCAATCTCGTTTATTGTGACAATATTACACAGTATTATAAAAATCCAGGGGCCGTAAATTGTTAATGAAAGTTCACCGTATTTTATTGAATAATGTATCCTGCTATATCATGTTAAGGCCAACTCAGACCAAGTGTCGAACGACGCATCTCGACGCGATTTGTTGTCGCGTCGGGTCTGTGCGAGTTGAACGCAGAAACGATGGTTTGCGTCGGGGGCAGTCACGTCGTAGGATATTAAACATGTTTAATATTTCTCACGACGGCTCAAGACTGTCCCCGACGATGAATCGCGTCGGGCTGCGTCGTATGACGCTGTCTGAGTTGGCCTTCAGTTGTAAAAAAAATTATATGGCAATAAATAATTCTAAATGTTACATTTCACTAAAGTGCAGGTAAAATTGTCACTGACAAGACCTTATTGGACAAAATACCATGTTATAATAATAATAATAATTTATTGAACTTACACTTTTGTTACAGTGGCACTCGTCAATTGACGGTGCGTTAAAAACCAAAAAAAATACAAAAAAAAGGTTACAATAAAAAAAACATACAAAAAGCACAAGCACACAATTTGAAAGCCCCTTCTTATTATAACTTAACAATCAAACTTAATTTAAACTACTTAAAATGTATAAATACAGCAGATACAGTAATACAGACTTACTTTTCTGTACAGTACTAGGCCTAAACTTACACACACACACACACACACCTAGGTAAACTCAATCCAATAAGAGAAATATTGAGGAGAGAAAAAAAAAGTTAGTTTTGCACAGTATAGATTAATGCGAAGTGTTTTTGGTGTTTGATTTAAATCTGCTATATCTAAGGCCTTGTGATGAATAGTTTTATAGGCCACGAACGTAGGTTAAACAAACATCGCTATTCAAGTTTTACTTTTAGAAGTAGTAGCAATATTATTATTATTATTATTATTATTATTATTATTATTATTATTAATCATCATCATCATAATAATTATAATTATTATTATTATTATTATTATTATCATTACTATTATTATTATAATTATTATTAATAATAATAATCAACATCATAGTTATTATTACTATTATTATTATTATCATTATCATTATTATTATTATTATTATTATTATTATTATTATTATTATTAGTGGTGGTGGTGATGATAATGATGATGATAATGATAATGTTTATCATGATAATGAAAATGTAACTATGAAAATCAAATCAAAGTGTATTTTACTTTCGAACATAAAACAATTAACATAAAATCCACTTCTTGGTAAACCAAAAAAAAAAAAATACAAGACCAAAAAAGTGATCATAGTAAGCAAAAAGTGGGAATTTAACAAAAAGGAAGGAGGATCAAAATAAGCCTAAATTGTTATTTTTTACTGATCCCAAAAATCATAACATATAATGAAATAATAATAATAATAACAATAATAATAATAATAATATTGCTTTACAATAATAATGATAATAATAACAAAAATAATAACAATAGCAACAATAACAACAAAAATAATAATAATAATAATAATAAAAATAATAATAATAATATTACTTTACAATAATAATAATAATAATAATAATAACAAAAATAATAACAATAGCAACAACAACAAAAATAGTAATAATAATAATAATTAATAATAATAATAATAATAATAATAATAATAATAATAATAATAATAATAACAAACACAGCAATAACAAACCAGGGAGGTTTCGCAACCTTACAAAAACGAATACGTCATTATCATTATCGTCATTCGTGCCTAAAACAGTCTTTAAAATATGCTGTATGAGCTGAATATGATCCTTGAATAATGCAAAAAAAAAATTGAATCGCCTACGTTGTGACAAATATGCTACTGTAGGGGAAAGGTTGTATACAAACTTGATGACGTATTCGTTATCGTTTTTGTAAGCAACTCCCTATAATCTGAGATTTATCCGCGTAAATTAAAATTATCAATAATGAATAATTCAGACTAAAAAAAACTTTTAAAAAACACCAACAAAATCCTACAACTGAGAAATAAACATAGATAATTAACAAGATATAATAACAGATTTTAAATAAAATCAAATCCATTTAGAACCTAATGTGAACGAGACGAGACCTAAAACATAAAGCAAAGTCGCAGCTTAAAAGTTTCGATCTGGAAAAACCTTTGCTAATAGGTACACTTTCTCCATCAAAAGGCTTCTTCTATGAATGGAATGACCTGTTCGAAGCACGAACTCCTGTAGACGAAACCCAGTACCATTATGATTTTTAATCGTACGGGAAATCCACTCACGATCCAATAATATCAAATCTCGGAAACATATCAGTAAACATATACAAATATAATATAAATAAATTTTTTTAAATCTAAATAAAAATGGAAAAGTGAGTGAATTCACATGTCAATGAGCGTAGAGAACATTGTAAAGAATTCTTTTGTTGAATCTTGATAATAATACGGTGATTGGATAGTCAAAAACATCCTGTAGGCGAATCAATGATGTTACTCAATGACTAAGTAATCACTTTGGTGTTAAGTACCTCCGTATACTACAGAACATGTCCCAATAACTTAACTAGATCAAGATACGCTTTCGTTGCAATGCAATTTATATGACGAATTCCTGTCACAAAATCTAGACTAACGTAGTATTTAATATTTGACCAATTTAATGTTTGCTAATGCAAATTTACCTACCGTTTACAATTTACATATACTCTATTTATAAAGTATTACCTCAAGACAAT